CCGCCTGGCCCGGTGGCGGCAGGGCTGGCCGCCTCACGCCGTGGCGGCAGGTGCCATGTGTCGCCCGGCGCGCCTGCCGCCACGGCCCAGGGGGTCTTTTTTGTCAATTTTGTCCAGAGGGAGTCTTTTCTGTCAATTGTGTTTGCGAGGGGGTCCTTTTCAACAAAAAATCTCCAACCAGTCGACATCAACCCGCTCAAGCCCGACTAGGGTTTGGGGCATATGTCGCCCCTAGAGAGGAGGAAGACGAGAAAGGGAGGGGAGAGAGATGAGGGTTCCTGACCGGGCCTTCACTCTGCTTCTGCTGAAGGTCTTTTTCTAGCACTCACAAATCATGGCTGCAATAATACCCACATATATTTATGCTCTCTTTGGCCACTAATACAATTACAGAGTACATACAGGTAAATAGACTACTATTTCCTCTGTAAACTTATATAAGTTCACAGAGGGAGTACTACAAATTAGAAGCATCAGGAATGCAATAAGTGTCTGTAACAACATTGTTTGATTACATGAACAAGTAATTCAGTAGTAGCAGCTTAATTACTGCATTTATCTCCACAAATCACAACCTCGACAGGACACTTGTTGGACACAATGCACTGAACTGCATAGTAGTACTTGTGGCAGTTAAACCTGCTCAATCTGCAGTGGTCGCCTTCCGCCTCATCCTCGCCCAATTCACAACCACAAACACATACTCCCTCCGTCCGGAAATACTTGTCATCAAAATGAATAAAAGGGGATGTATCTAGACGTATATTAGTTTTAGATACATCTCTTTTTATCCATTTTGATGACAAGTATTTGCGGACGGAGGGAGTACATTTTATCACAAGCCTCATCAAAGAACTGGAAATAGGAAACCCTCCAGGTTTTCTTGAATAGAAGGGAGCAGAACACTACCCACAGGCCAACCACAAAGCCGACGCTTAATCCGAAACAGAAGGGCATCGTCTCAGATCCTTCTTTGCTCGCTGCAGGGTGGCTTTCCGCTGTATGGTTTCCTGGACAAGTCTTCCGGAGAGGAGGGCCGCAGACTCCAGCGTTCCCAATGTACATGGACGCGGGATTGTCAGGGTTGAGTGTGTCGAGCTGGTGCCCTGACGGTATCCTTCCTGATAAATCATTGTAGGACAAGTTCAGGTAGCTTAGCAATGTTAGATCCGACAGGCTTGAAGGGATTTCACCCGAGAGCTGGTTGCTGGAGAGATCAAGTGATTCCAGTGAGCGCATGGAGCCAATGCTCTCTGGGATTTTTCCAGTCAAGTGGTTCAGAGACAGATTCATGCTCACTAAACCGGATGCCGGACCAATGCTTTTGGGGATATCTCCAGTTAAATGATTGCAGGACAAATCTAGACTCACCATGTATATTGATTGACCAATATATTCTCGTCCTTGCCCTTTTGTGACTACAAATATGCTATCAATATAATAATACGCAAATCCACCAGGAACATCGCCATCATCTACAGCAACAATGCCGCTGGAAGTGCCGGACGGAATATCCGGATCTGCTAATTCTGTGGTTTCGGTCATGCCATCCATGTTTAGCAGGGACCGAGGTATAGAGCCTGAGAAGTTGTTGTGTGCTAGGTCCAAATATTGGAGATGACGAAGTTCTTTAAGCTGGGCAGGTATATAGCCAGAAAACATGTTGGATCTGAGACACAGATATCTCAGTTGTGG